GTTGTTTTTGGACAAAAATTCACGCAAGTGGTGCATACCTTCAAGGTAATACTCCTTATTGACCATACGACCATATGGCAATAACCCCGGATGCACTACGCCACGGTAATCAAGTAAAACAGTGAGCAAAACCTTGACATTGAATCGAGCGTGACGTTTTTTTGGTTTTGGCTGCCCTGGGCTCTTCCTTGGGATGATTGTACTTCAGTTTCGATGCCATAACGGCACTTTACCAGCAATTACTTTATGACACAAAGTTGCAGCATGTATGCCAACATCCTCAGCAACTTATCTACTTAATGGTGATTCGACAATTCTCCATAAACATTTTCTCCACTTTCGTTGTTGTTGTCATTCACATCTCAATCTTCTGTAAAAAGCGTGTTCCATTTATAAACATTTTTCTGTCTCAGATTACAATCACTGTATGTCACTGTCAACTTTCAAATCTTTTTGAGCACCTAATTCCATTTTTTAAACAAAATTTGATGCAACTTCTTTGATCCATGTTTTTCAGTAGCAGAGAATCTCCGAACAGGCAAAACACTCCCAACTTTTCGTGAACATATGTACATTTACCTTATTTTTTTCCACATACTTTAACGTAAACTTTCATGTTGTCACAAAATGAAGGAGAGATGAAACGCAATAGAATTTTTTGGCAAGATTTCAATATTCACAATAGCTCTTTTTTCTAGACACAGAACCACTGGAATGCGATTTGAGCGAGGAAGAATTGGCAGAAGAAAGTCTGGACGAAGCAAGCAGCAACCGTCCTAGAAAAACTAGACGATGTCGAACAACTTACACGACTCATCAGCTATATGTGTTAGAGGAAACTTTCAAAACCATTCAGTATCCAGACGTTTTCACTAGAGACGAATTGGCTGAGGCGCTGAACCTCACTGAAGCCAGAGTTCAGGTGCGTTCAGTAAAATTGAATTTCCTCCAAAGGAAATTGAAAAGAGTCATCANAAAATAGCCTGGATTCGAAAATGAGACTTGGCTTTTTTTTCATTGAGTATGAGCTTGTTTGTCAAGAACCAGGTTTTTGCTTGTTCCATAACTTCCCCAAGGATTGTAGCCGGACACTCCCCTTTATTGATACTGATGCCAAATGTGGTGTCATCAGCATACATAATTGTCTCGATATATGAGGTGAACATATTTGGCAAATCGTTAATATAGATAATAAAGAGAAGAGGGCCCAATATTGATCCCTGAGGAACTCCTCTACTCATTGTCTGAGGAGTGCTTCTCTGATTTTCAATACAAAGTACTTGAAATTGATTGGACAAGTAGGATTTGATTAGTTTGAGTGCCACTCCTCTCATTCCGTAGTACTCCTCGGTAGTACTCTTCCGTAGTACTCCTCAGTAGTACTTTCCCGTAGTTTTCCTCAGTAGTATGTTATGATCAACACAATCAGAAGCTGCACTTAGGTCTTGAAGATTCACAAAAATTTTTCGTTTCTTTCAAAACTGGTTTTTATAGCACGAGTTAATGTCTTGATAGCATCCAAAGTGGACATATTATTCCTAAAACCGGCGACTGTTCTACCAGTGAGAAAGTTATCGAAGTGCTTGAAAAGATGTTGACCAGTGTCAACTACTGCTGACGCATTTTCGTTGTATATTTCGTTGATTTTTTCACAATAAAACTCTGTTGTGATGGTTTGATCCGGTTGCAGAAAGTTATAGTGAATCACAGCAGCTGCTGACCACTATACAGTGACCAAAACCTTTATTGGTGGGTTTTTGCCTTTGACAAGTACCTGGGTGGCTGATTGGTGTTCAAACACAGTCCTAAACGTGACTATTAGATCCAGAAAAAGTTCGTTCTGGTTGCGCAAAATCGAAGAGTTGGAAATATACCTCCTTAGCTGAAGGTTGCAATAATGGTACCTATCCATAAGGAAAACGACAAGCAGTCGGTTTCCAATTACAGAGGATTTGCGTTACTATCTGCCTTTTCCAAAATATTCGAGAAAACTTATCAAAGAAGACTCCTCTCTTTCTGCAAGAAGTATAAAATCATCCCAGACTGTCAATATGGCTTCCAAATTGGCAAATCCACTCAGGATGCCACGATGAATTCAGTCAATGAAGTCATTTCTAATCTCGATAGAGGTGAAAAAACGATAAGTGTTATACTGTCACAAGCTGTTGATCGCGGTTCACTTTTGAGCAAGCTGTTTTGTCTGGGAATTCGTGGCTCATCTCTGAATTGGTTGAGATCTTATCTGGGTTGCAGAACGCAAACTGTGAGGATTGAACTGTAGGGCTGGGACCTTCCACTCTAGAATCTGCGTCGTTCCCACCGGTGTTCCCCAGGGTAGCGTTCTAGGACCTGCGCTCCTTCTTTTATTCGTACATGACCTCAACAACAGTAATCGTCAACAGTGTATAGTGCAATTTGCCGACAATTTTTCGTTCACTCTGAAGTCCTCGGAGTATGAGGGATTGTCGTGTCAGGCCAATCAAGCAGTTGCTGATATGCAAAACTATTGTTTTCAAAACGGTCTCAATCTCAACAGCTCAATAACTAATACAATCGTCTTTTCACTAAATGAGAATAAATGGCAAGCCAATGCAACAAACTTCATGTGTGAAATTTTTAGGTTTGAACATTGATGCTCAACTCTCTGGGAACTATGCTGGGTCACTTTCAACCAAGGTTCTCAAATTCCTATCTGAGTTACTGCATAAAAATAAAACCTTTCTTTTCCAAACTTCATAAACCGTTCATACAAAGTAGTATTTCCTGATATACAAAAAATACTTCTCATGTCACTTTCTGAATACAAAACCTTGAACACACACACATTTTCATATTCATTTTATATTCATTTATTCACGGATTTCAAATGGTTTTTGAAAGCTGTAGAAACGAAAACTTGGATTGTGTATTAGCTATGAACAACTCCACAATATGATATCTATAGCTTTCTGACTGAAAGTTTGACGAAGAGATTCCTTAGCGAAAGGCGCATCCTGAATTTTGGCGTGAAACACGTTTTCAAAACTAATTTTTACTCTTAAGTCATTATTTCTTTTGTATATTTTCTCAATAAATGTTTGTGAATTCAGAATTATTTGGTCTATACAATGGTGGATTGAGTTACAAAACTGTTTCTGATGTTTTAAAAATGAGCTTGGCCTTGAGAATAAAATTTATAAAACAAATAGTGATTTTCAATGAAATTTCCTGTTTGGGAAAATATTTTCTGAATGATTTCACTGAAAATACAAGATTTCTGGTTCTCGTTTCAGCATTTCAACTATAAAATAAAGAATTTTTTGTTGTTTTTCGAAATATTTATTTATATATTAATTGATTTTCGTGTATATTATTGTTTCTGAAGAAAGGAGAAATGAAAGTTTCAATGTTTTTTACCACTTTTGTCGTAAGTGGTTATTATTCTTTCTTGTGAATTTCTGACGGAGGGAGATTGAAAAAAAACACAAATTAAAAATTACACCAGATCACTTTATTCAATAACATTGATTACTACTGAACATTTTTCAATGATGGACAAAATTATTAAATAAGACAAGTTAATGGTAATGTTGGAAATCATTGAAAATATCTCAAATTTTGTGTATATGGATTATTATGAACTTAAAGGTTTTCGTCAGAAGAATATGTTTCAATTGTTTATTGAAGGCTAGAAATTATAATTTAATTTCATTTGGCACTTCATCATATATTTTAGCTATATTGCATGAAAAAATTAGCTTGAATTATGCTGGGTTATGTTTTGTGTATGTGTTTACCTATGTCAGTGCCGTATCAGNACGAAGCAAGCAGCAACCGTCCTAGAAAAACTAGACGATGTCGAACAACTTACACGACTCATCAGCTATATGTGTTAGAGGAAACTTTCAAAACCATTCAGTATCCAGACGTTTTCACTAGAGACGAATTGGCTGAGGCGCTGAACCTCACTGAAGCCAGAGTTCAGGTGCGTTCAGTAAAATTGAATTTCCTCCAAAGGAAATTGAAAAGAGTCATCATGATTTTGAAACTATTATTGTGAAATATCCATTCTTCACAAGGTCCACCATATTTTTGTATCGCACACAGGCTAAACAAAAGATTTTATGAGCATTCGGGTCTTTGATTACCTACAGTGGCGTACGCTTGGAAATTCAATCATAAATAGCACATGGGCTGAAAAAAGTCGGGCATAGAATTCGCTTTGATAGTTCAATACCACTTTTGAAGAACAACTTATCGTTTGCCTCAAAATAGTCCTCAGTAATATTTATTTGAGCGAAATTTCTTACCGGTTAACAATTTTTCTGAGGTCTGCGAACATCCAGTAGTCGCTGGGAGCCAAATCTAGCGAATACGGTGGATTTGGGAGCAATTCAAAGTTCAATTCATGCGAAATGTTCCAACACAGCTCGGGAATTTCAAGAAGACACTATCTTTATGACGAGAGTTTCATTATTTGGGGGGTGGATTACACCCCTTCCATCCCTCTGAAAATGTATGATATCAATTCCAAATGTTCGTTAGATGTCTTTCAACGTACCCTGTGAATTTCAAGCTGGCAGAATTCTGAAAGGACTTTTGTTCGATTTTCATCATTTGAGGGTAGTTTTACACCCTCTCAACGTCTTTGCAAATTTGCAAATCTCTGAAATTGATATACTCGTAGGAGTATTGAGAATGTTTTCTAATGTGTCACATAAATTGTGAATTTTTGTATAAGAAATAACTATGTTGTGAGATATCATTTTGTCACTGACGCCACTGGAAATGCATCTGCCGGAATTCGATCAAGTCGACGAAGGCCGTTTTTGTCTGGTCTTGATGCAAATTCAAATTCATTTTTTTTTGTTAAGTTCATAACAAAGCTACAGCTTTAGAACATGTCACAAAATACCACAAAATTAACATATGCTGTGTAATATAAATAATAATACAGTACATACATACAATCGCGCAAGGCGTCTTTGCTCTATGGTCCAGGGAATGAATGGAAAAAGTCATTAATAGGGATTTTCTCTAAGTAATGTCTCTAAATGTTTTTTGAATTTAGTAAAGTTCAGAGAACGTACTTTGAGAGACAGGGCATTGTACATTTTAATATCAATAGTATCGTCCATTCTTTGTAACCGGGTTTGAGGTATAATCAAACTATCTTCATTTCTAGTATTGTGACCGTGTATATCAGACACAACAGAGTAACTATTAATGTTTGGTTTGACATATAGTAACTTTACAAAAATTGTCAGAGAGTAAAGTGTCATTATTCTCAACGTTTAAAAGATTGGTTTGCAGGAGTCTTCAAAATTAGCTCTTATAATAGATCATACATCTTCTGAATGACGAATATAAAATTTAAATGAAACTGAGCTGCCGAGCTCCAGACAGACAAGCCATATCTAATAATGGATTCGAACAGGGCATAATAAGTAGTTATTGCAGCGGATTGGATAATAAGTTGTTTAACTTCTCTTATAGCAAATACTACACTATTCAGTCTATTGCAAATTATATATATATGTATGTTCCATATACACCCTGGAATTTACAGTGCAGCATGTCTGCATGTCTAGGTCGTTTTCTACATTGTAAGATAATCTGGATTCGAAAATGAGACTTTTGGTTTTTTTCATTGAGTATGAGCTTGTTTGTCAAGAACCAGGTTTTTGCTTGTTCCATAACTTGCCCAGGGATTATAGCCGGACACTCTCCTTTATTGATACTGATGCCATTTGTGGTGTCATCAGCATACATAATTGTCCCGATATTTGATATGAACATATTTGGCAAATCGTTAATATAGATAATAAAGAGAAGAGGGCCCAATATTGATCCCTGAGGAACTCCTCTACTCATTGTCTGAGGAGTGCTTCTCTGATTTTCAATACAAAGTACCTGAAATTGATTGGACAAGTGGGACAAGTGATTAGTTTGAGTGCCACTCCTCTCATTCCGTAGTACTCCTCCGTAGTACTCTTCCGTAGTACTCCTCAGTAGTACTCTTCCGTAGTTTTCCTCAGTAGTATGTCATGATCAACACAATCAGAAGCCGCACTTAGGTCTTGAAGATTCCCAAAAATTTTTCGTTTCTTTCAAAACTGGTTTTTATAGCACGAGTTAATGATTTGATAGCATCCAAAGTGAACATATTATTCCTAAAACCGGCGACTGTTCTACCAGTGAGAAAGTTATCGAAGTGCTTGAAAAGATGTTGACGAGTGTCAACTACTGCTGACGTATTTTCGTTGTATATTTCGTTGATTTTTTCACAGTGAAACTCTGTTGTGATGGATTGATCCGGTTGCAGAAAGTTATAGTGAATCACAGCAGCTGCTGACCACTATACAGTGACCAAGGCCTTTATTGGTGGGTTTTTGCCTTTGACAAGTACCTGGGTGGCTGATTGGTGTTCAAACACAGTCCTAAACGTGACTATTAGATCCAGAAAAAGTTCTAAGAAAATGCTATGTGATTCACAAGTTTTATCTCATTTCAACGACAGGTGTCGCATACAAAAAGTTCAAAACTCTCGTATCAGGTTAATATTTGGTATCAGATAAAGGTCCAGAATTTCACACAAATTAGCAGATTTGAAGTGGTTGAATATGTTTAATTGTAGACGTCTTCATGCAGCATGCATATTCTTTAAAATATTCAAATATAGGAATCCTCCCTACTCATATTTGTCTTATAGAACAGATATCCATAACCTGAATTTGCGTAAAAAGACAGTGCTAAACATTCCTGTACATAAAAAGGAAATATTCAAACGATTTTTTTTTCTATAATATCTCCTCCACAATAAATTATCTCCATAAATGGGAAAACAATTGTTTTCCCATTGTTTTTAAAAGTAGGTTTAAACAGAATTTGTTCAGCATTCAGAATAACTAGGTCCGCGGCGAGAATCCTGAAACAGCTTTTAGCTATTCACATATCTATATCTTTATATTACCTCTTCTTTTCTTTCCTTTTTTTCTTTTCTTTCTCCGTATCTTCTCTTCAAACCCTCATTTATTTACTTTTATACATTTTCGGCATTGGTGGAAGAGCAGACGCGAATGCAAATTCACGGTCTGAACCAAAAGCAATTTGCAATCAAATACAAAGTGTTTTTATTTTTAAAAACACTCTCTTATATTTTGTTTTTTGTTATAATCTTGTATTTTGATGGGCAATACACTCAATGTTATCACTCACTGCTTTCGAAAAAAATTCTTCGTTAAGCTTCAGATACATTTATAACTATTATGACACCTTATTTTCGGAACACCGTGGTAATCGTCTCCTTTTTTTGTTTTTAGGTTTGGTTTCAGAACCGCCGCGCCAAATGGAGAAAATGCGAGAAGGCAGCAGAAAGAGAAACGGCCTCCTACATTAACCCTGGCGATCATCGCCTGATAGACCATGGACAGCAAATCCCGGCAGTGAACTTACACTCGATGGCTAATGGCCACTCTTGGCCCCCTTTGTCATTTGCACCAATGTTCCTTCCATCTGGGGGATGCCCCTGGGCTCACACAGTTCCAAATTTCCACAACTTGTATTCCCAGTATGTACTAGCGGGGGGTGTTCCCCTTTTCAGCCTCTCCAACTCCGCTGTTCCTGAAGAAAGGTGGGCTAGTTTCTGTCCTAAATTCCCCCCTCCCTTGCAGCTATCTCCCGCAGCTTCAGGTGCTCTCACTGGATGCAGGAGATATTAATGAAGCCCAAGTTGCTGTAAACGTGCCTCGCCAATTTGTAAACTGTGGGCAGATTTCATTAAAGTGTAATAAAGCCGGTGAGATGTTTTGTGCTCTGACCTTTCGTGATGGATTTCTCTGATCTTCGGGGCAGTTCATACATTCTTTTTCAACTGGTGCAGCTAAATTCGACATCCTTCTTTGGTGAATGAAACTCATAGAACGAGAAACGGTGCTGTGGAAGCTGACTATGACGACATAGTGAAATTGCAAATCGGACTGTGACATTACAGAGCATTCTTTGAATGTCTCTGCCCGCTTTTATGGTCACCAAGTGACGCAAAAGTTCAATTAATATATTTTACTTTACTGAATCTACAGATCTGTTGATATTTATTGTATTCTGATATGTTCGAATATGATGATCACCCTATTCTGCTGAATTAAAAAACCTATGTAATATGTTGTAGTTAATTATATTATTGGAAATATATTTATTGATATTTACTCGTTGTTTATGTTAGTGGAAAATTTTTAACTTCGTTTTCAATATTCAAATTATTGTCATTCAATTAACTCGAAACATATTGCTGTTCAATTCAGCGAATTATGTAAAATGTTCTGGACCATTATGAACCATCAAAAGCGTTGTTTTTCTGAAGGGGCCATTGGTAGGGGTATATAAAGTAAGATACGTGGTCCATAGTTCTATTTAAAGTCCCACACAATTTTATACCAACTTATATAGCAAACTCTAGGGAACACCATCAACGCCGGTGTTCTCCAGGGATCCACATTGTCTCCAACCCTCTTTTATTGCATATCAACGACTTATTGGAAAACTAAGGATCAAATATATTGCTTCGCTGACGATTTCACGCTTGTCTGGTCATTCCATTTGGATTCCTGGACATCGATTGCGGATGCTCATCTTCATGAGCAGCAGGAGGTTGCATATATTGATGAGGATCTAGAGGTAATTTCGAATGGGGTGGAAGTAACAAGGTTCAAGCGACGAAAACCCAGGCATCGGTTTTCTCCAAAAAGATAAATGTCTCCGAACTGAATATAATAATGTCAGGACAAACAATCCTGCTTTTTGCTTCGATAAGTTTGTTGGGGGTTGAGATGGACATCAATATGTCTTGGCACAATCATGTCACTGGAACTGCAAAGGCTGCTTCTCAAAAGCTTGGAACACTGTTTAAAACCAGAAAACTATACACACCTCAGCAACTTTTTCTGTTGTATAAAGCTCAGATCAGAACTTCTTTGGAGTATTGTTCTCATGTATGGAGTTTCGTCCCCAAACATATCCTGAAGTTGCTAAATTCCATCCTGAAAAGATCCATCCATCTGATTGGAGTGACTTGGCACATTTGATTCCACCAAGAGCGGTACATATCAGAAATAGGCGACGGACTGTGGCTGCTCATTGTTTTGAGGTTCAACTCAGTATACCTCGTACTTCATGTTTCAGAATTCTTCCATTTGGAGAACTGCTTTTATGTGAAATAAACTTTCTGAGAACGTTTTTCCAAATGAATTTGATCTCCAGCGATTCAATTGAGGATTTTATCTGAAAGAAAACTCTCTTGAAACAACTACATTTATGATCTTTTCAAATAGTTTACTCTGGAATTATTTGTTTTCTTCCTTCTTTTGGGAGATTTCCACATTTTTCTGTATAATGATGTAGGAGTAGAAAGTCAAAACCTCTCTTACTTATTCAGCTTAGTTCGAAATAGTTTTCCTATTTTTGTTTTTTTTCTATGAATTCTCTGTATTTCTCATTTTTGCGGTTGTTATTTTTATTGATGTGTCATGTATTATTCGACCCACCCACTGATTCATTTCAATTATATTGTTACCTTTTTCAACTCACCCGTCTCTATGACTCTACATATTTCTTTATGATCATAGAATTCAGGAGTTTCCTATCCAGGAAGCTGATATCCTTATACGACAAAAGAAAGTATGCTTTCTTGTAAAACAAAATGTCAAAAAGCGTGAGACTTGATATGTGATATGATAAACAGCATCCAGGTGAATCATTAATCAACTGTATTTTTTCAATTTATAAATATGAAAAACATTTACGAAATTGGGAAAAATCATGAGTCAAAATCTAGGTAAAAGATATGTGCCAAATAATAAAGTGTTCCAAATTGATCTTATTTCTTCGAAGGCAAGAAATCTTCGATGCTGAAATCTTATCAAGTCTACTCATCGAAGGTATACCATTCTCAGTTTCTTGTTATAAGGTACATTTGATTTAACTGGAAAATGTGCCACGGATTACTTTGTCAGGTATAAATTACAGGTAATGACAAAAATTCCAGAGACGTATTCAAATTTCAAATTCTCCAATGGACCTTGTTGGTTACGATATTTTTGTGAACTGATCAGAAGAAAATAAAGTCTGTCTGCTGTACAATAATATTACCCTCGTTCCTGTTTATTTTATTGAAAAACCAAAACAACTACGTCAACATCCTAAACACCTTGCACAAATATTGCTGAAATGGATACTATGTGGTTGAAAGAATACCATTTACTACCCAAGTAGTTTCTATATCTAACAATATTTAGCTGCCATATAAAATTTCGAACATTTTCTGTACCTTTTTACTTGATATGTTGTACTCAAAACTGAAAGCCTTTTGTCAATCTTGTGTCATAGATTATCACCTCAATTTCTCAACTACTCCACAGCTTTTCAACACGAAACTCACCAAGAAACATTGTCAACCACCTTCAAGCAAACGATGAAATTAATGATTTTCCTTCTAGAAAATAAAAGAACCATGTGCTTCTGATTATTACTTAAATGAACTTTCCATTTCATTAAGGTCATATGGAATAGAATAATCGCAATACAGTTATCAATTCGTATTGTCATTTTAGTTTATATTTCAATAATTGGCAAGTCCAAACAACTTATGAACATTGCCACAATTTTGGATTAGTGAACTTGCTCTAAAACTTTCATAACTATGAATCTCTTTACCAAACCTTTTCTGATCTTGCCAATGCCAAGGTCTCCAATGTTATTGGAGACCTTGGCATTGGCTTACAGTTTTGTTTCCGTAGAACTGAGGTGATCTCTGCGGCTTTCATATGAGCTTTTTGCTGAACAGGTTCCAACTCGGTGACAGAGTTGTGGTCACCTCGTTCAGTGTCGAAAACTATACCGAGTTCATCAGCTAGTTACAGTTCGATAACCTCTTACATCAGCAGGATATTGTTCGATGACCCGAAGACGACATCAATTATTTTGCTGATATCTGCAAAGTCGGCAATAATTTATGTATAAATAGGTTCAATTGATTTGTAATAGCCAGTACTTATATTTCATAGTTATTAGTTGTTTAATTATTTTTTGACAAAAAGGGATTAAATTTGAATACGATTTCTGGAAGTTCCACTGAAAATTGAATATGGCACCGAAAACAAAGACACTAGTTTTCCTGGATCATCAAAAGACTAATTCTACCTTTTTGGGTAGATGGCTCTTATATTTTGTGGAATAGGGCTAGAAATATAGTGAGGTAGGGAAGGGTAGGTCCAAAGTGATTGGATCTATTCGACTTTATACTGTATTCCGTTGGAAGTTGTGGCTTAGAGTCAATGAAATATGTTTTAGCTTCTTGACGTAGTCAATTACATGTGTTGTGTTACCAGAATTTCAATTTCTACTTGGTACATTGTCCTCAACACAGTGACGATCTAATCGGTAGTCATCTTTCTGTGTTATATTCTAGAAAGAAGAAATCTCAAAATCGACCCAGAATAAGTTTGAGATTTGCTACAAGTTGAGTGCAACCAATCTTTGATTCAACTGTTGGACAAAGAATACTGTTTCAAGAAATCATTTGGATCATTCAAGAGGCATATGATGACGGCAGAACTTTTTTCGTTTTTCCAGCAGTTTCTCAATTTCCATCCTGGTGTTTTATTCTGCCAAAATGTTGATAGGGTTCAGGTCTGTTCAGTTGGGAACCTTTTGTAACGGTACGGTTAGTGCTGATGATTTTTTGCAATAGCATCGTAGTTCAAATACTTATTTCGATGAGTTTTCATACTTTGACATTCTAGTAATTTCTAGAGTCCGGTCCTCATGTTTAGAATCATTCCAGAATTTACATTAGGTAGGTTTAACGTCTTGGTTTCCTTCTTAAGGATATTAAGGGCTAAGCGACTGAATTATCAGCTTTCTTCATCAAATTATACTTCTTACAGGAAATATGATTCCTGGAATTATCATATAATTTGTACTGTCGGAAATTTTGTTTCATTATTCAGCTGAGATATTGAAGGGTTGAATTTCTTTTTCTTAGTGTATGTCTCTCTTCATTTCATAATAGTTCTGAACAGAAGGAATAATAAACAGAGTGAGAAATGAATTGATGTAATATTTCAAAGAATAATCTTGGGGAAAGGACCTATTCATATTTCTGCTTCTTCCATGAGAAAGAAGCAGATACAAACTTTCCTAAACAACTACGTCCGAATATGAATATTGAAAACACAGAAATTCTATACTGATATACTTTGTACGAAAAAGAATTTTTTTAATCAACTTGTATTAATAAAATTATGAAACATGAAAGTGAATCATTTATCGTCAGTGGGTAAATATAAAATCCCCCAACGTGTTTGTCTAAACGGGTTAAAGTGAATTATAAATATTTTGGGGATAAGTTCAGAAACACCCGGTATGAGGGATAATCTTTCTGTCAAAGTGATTTTCGGCAGCATTATCATCCAAAATTTCAGCATCTGCAGAATAAAATGCAAAATCTGTCCATATTGGTACATCAATCAATCCAATTTTCAACTATTTTTGAAGATATTACTTCACTGAATTGTGTATATAATCGGGTTTTGTTGAAGAAAAGAAATTATTACAGTTTCCAGGTATATAAATTATTTTCGATGAGGTATTAACTTCAGAGGTTGAAAGGGATTATCTATTGGCAGAGTAATTAACTTTTAAATGAGGGAAAAGAGTTACTACAAACTTTTATGAATGAAATAGTATTTTTGAAAAACCCGAAATTTCATTCATAAATTTCTAAATGTATGGTAATTAGATAGTATAGTACCTGTTATTTTTGTCAATGATGGAATGGAGAATTATATGAAGAATTGATATTTTCAAAAGTTGAATCAAGGCAAAGAAAAAAAAAGAAAATGATTTTCCCATTTCTGAAGCAAAAGTTGTTATTATATTATCTGAAAACACGAAGTCACGAGTTTAATATATGAAAAATAATCACTGTTACTCTAGAAAACCTATGATGCATATTTGAAAAAAGTGTGAGTGGAATTTGTTTTAGTGAAATATTGTTGAAAATTATTTGCTAATTCTATGGCAATATTAGAATCTGATATTTTTTTCAACAATTTTCAGTTGCGGACGAAAAAA